TAATATACATAGATATATATGTTTATAAATATACAAATCTCTATGATTAATTATCGCTGATGAATACACTTTTCTTTGTACTCGAAATTACATTTAGTCTGGATGATGAGTTTTTTTCTCTGTAGTTGCGCAGCCATCTTTTTAATAAATAGGCCTCTTAGAATCGGCCTCTAAAATGTAACATATACGGCCGTATAATATAGTAGGCCATGTATGCAGGGACAAATACAGTAAAAGGATGAGACTTTGCTGAATGACCAATAAAGCAAGAATGAGTTTTGATTTATGGGACTAGAGATGATAGCTCCTTTGAGCAGTGAACATAATAGTATTTGTAGAAAAGAAAAAGAGATGCAATTTTACAAAAATGAAAGAGTAGCTCAAGCTTTGCTGATAGGCCAGCTCCAACTACATTTACAATGCCTTTTTTGACCTTGTCTAGAAGAGAAAGAGCCTCGTTAGAAGAACCAGCTTAAATATGACAACAGTATTACATACAGGGACAAATAAGAGATTTCTAGAGGTAGAGAATGGAATTAGGAGTAAGATAATAGCAAACACAATAAAAGAGAAGTAACCTTAGCAATCTTAGCAGATGCTAAAAAAATTAGATTCACTAGACACTAGGCAATTGATTGTATATATGGTTTTTATGGGAAGTCAGTAGTAAATAATAATCCAAGAAGACATAAAGAAGCAGAATTAGTGAGAGGGTAGTCATTCATCAATGTAGGAATGTTGACTCTATTGAGATGATTGTTTGCAGTAATTAACTGAGATTTGTTGGAGTTAAAATTTACAAGCTACAGTGTGCCCCACTCTGTTACAAATGATAAATCTTTCAGTCACAGCAATTAAAGCAGCCGTAGAGCAAGAAGATCATAAACCGTATTAATTGTCTGAAAGTAAGTTATTTGACTCAAGATGGGATGTCAGAAATTTTCTGATTAAAGACTCAAAAACCTTACTAATAACAGATAGACAACTGATCGGATATTAGTTGGAGGGGTCTCCAGATTTTTTAAAAGTTGAAACCACAGATGCTATTTTCCAGCAGGTAGGAAAACAAGAATCAGTCAAGCACTTATTAATTGGTTCAGAGGTTTAATTATTGCATATATGATTTCGTAATTGTATATATGGTTTCTACAAGAGATCAGTAGTGAATGACATTCAAAGAAGACATAAAGTAGTGAAATCAGTGATAAGATTGCCATTTGTCAATACAGGAATGTCAACAACACTGCAACAGTTGTCTGCATTTGATAAATTAGTTATGTTGGAGTCGTAATTCACAAACCACTGAAATCCCCAAGTTGTTACAAAAGAGAGATTAGATTCAAGATTGGCTGTCTGTGCTAAGCAATCAAAAATTGAAGACTTTATGTTAAGAGTGTTACGTTGAGTCACCAGAAAATTTGTATGTAAGATTGCCAGGAATATGAATAAGAATGTTGGCCTTGATAGACAATCTTACTGCCTTGTAAAATTTACTTTTTTAGGAATAGGTTTTGGGAAGTTAAATCTGACTTAAAAATACTTCTTCCTTCATTGTATAATAGGCTGGCATTGATGTTTATCTGTGTTACATTGTTTCCTGCCTAGGAAACAATGCAACAGAGATGATGAACACTAGATCTTCTTGAATCTAATTATGGGCTGTTATCTGTGCCTCCTTGGTAGTGGCTATGCAACTGAATTTATTTTTCTCCTAATGAAAGTACAGCTTTAAAACTCACTTTAATAATTCTGAGGCTAGTCAGGTTTCCAGAACTTTGTGGTAGTTCTAAGAGCAGCTGATTCCATCAACATCTGTAAAATATGATAGTAATAACAGTGTTATATTACATGTGGAAGGTGTCTTTCTCAGTACTTTTGGTGTGCATTGTCAAGGTCACATTAGAAGGCCCTTATTACAACTTTGGGTTGATTCATAGGAACAAGGCAACTGCATAGTTAATTGTTTGGGTTGTCATGCACTTTCTATTATTGAGTTAAATTTTCTCATTATTGGAATCATGAATAAATACCGAAAAACTGTTGTTAAAAAAAAAAAAAAATTTCAATTAATCTTTAACAAGTATTGGAGTGAGTTTTAATTTTTTCAATCATACCTTTTACAAATTTTACCAGACTTACTTGCTTTTTGTAAGACTAGCTAAAATATAGCTGTTTCATCTTAGGATCTCAATGATGATGGCTATTATATTTTGTTTTGCAAAAACTTCAATTGCCACATCCTTGGCCCATATATTATACTTGGCCCATGGCAAAAACAGGTGTAAATCCTCCAACTATTCCTCTAACATTGGTTTGCGAACAACGAAGCGTGTTTTACTAAGTTGATTGAAACTGTAAAATTTTATTACCTATTCATTTTGCTACAACGTTTGATATTGTTTTGCACAGATATTTGATCCACAAACATTCCATTTATGAATCATTTCTAAAAAATCATTGAAAAAAAGTGGTAATGGGAGCTTTTTCATCTCATTGAAAAGAAGTTTGAAGTGGAGTACTGCAAGGTTTTGTACTTGGAACTATTCTATTCATAATGCATGTTAATAATTTGCCAGAACTATTAACAAATGTAAATAAACTGTATGCTAATAATACCAAGTTATTAGCAAAAGTAAATTACAGTGACAATAAAAATGTATTACAACATGAGACATAAACAAAATAGCAAAATGGTCTAAAAAACATGGCTTCTTTACTTGAATCATACAAAATGTAAAGTGATGCATCTTGGCAAATCAAATAACAATCACACCAACACAATTCTGTCAAAAAGTAATGAAATAATTTTATGCA